CACACACACACACACACACACACACACACACACACACACACACACACCCGCGCGCGTCTCATTCCTATTGTTAAGATTTCTAGTGATTTATAATAGCTTGCTAAACTACTGTAATATATACAATTTTTATTGTTACGCTCGTGGGGTGCAGGCCATACTTTAGTTTGGACACCAGTCTCCCATTGTACCATTATTTATATATCTATATTTGTACAAACTGCCATTGTAATATTTGTAAGCTATTGGGAGAAAATCAATTTATATTCTACTCTAACATTTTTTGAGCATAAGGCATTTAATACTGAAAATGCAAAGTGGCTTAAATTTCATTTAAATAAATAAAATAGTTTATTTGACATGCAACACAACACAAAGAAAAAATACGCAAATTAATAATAATAAACAAAAACACACGTCAAAGGGTCTATGACTCAGCTACAAAGGACAATGAAGTACATTGTCGTCGCTATATTCTGCCATAGGCCTTAATGGTCAGGAACACACAAAAAATATATAATTAATCATATAGCACAGACATAGGCGTCAGAATATATTAGTAATTAAAATGCAAAATACTATTCTAATTCCAAATTATTAAAAACCAGTATAACAACACACAACACACGAATTATAATTATGTGTTCTGAAGTGTATTTCAGATAACCATGACCATGAGACCCTTAAGTTGATTTGCTTGGAAGAAAAACAATCATAAATACTAGACATTACGGTGCAGCTTGTGCGCAGATTCAAGTCCTGCCGGGCCCCTATTTTCGATCTTTGTATTAAGAACAACAACAACTACAGGCACATGTAACTTGTCAACAGGGCGCAGTGGCTGTGCCCCTCAGATCTGTGCGAGTTAAAGCTCTGAGTGGCATTGCAACCGTTATGGACAGGCGTGTAGTTTACCACTAGGCGCACAAATTATCCCGTCACTTGATATTATAAAAAAAAAAATTATGACAAACTAGTTTTTTACAAAAAAATCATTTCCAGTATGTAACAATCGAGTTCTTAACTTAATATGATCATGGTTCTTTCGTAGGTAATGTCACGACGAGAGCTAACAAGTTCAGCTTCAACCACATTCTAAATGCAAAACAGATATAATAACAAACATTTTAGTAGAACCTTGATTGGATTAATTCCCCGGACTCCACCAAGAGTCCTGGGACGCAAGCATATGAATATTTTCATTCCGTCTCATTATTTTAAACACAATTATATCTAACGAGTAAAACAGTTTTGCAAATAACTTCCCCGCAGACGTCGACCCTCCAAACTAGAATGGGGAATGTAGCAGCTGGTTACGTTCCCACTGAAAAAGTTTAGCGCAGAATGTCTGCCCTATGCTGGAAATTTATAAGGGAACCTTATCTAAAAAGCCAGCCTTTCAGCGGCTTCACTGAGCGAACGATGCAAAACAAAGCTTTGTTAGAGCTCCTTTGAATTTCGGTAAGGAAAATGAGAGGTTGCACACAACCATAAAGACCGTCAAAGAAGCCTCAGAGTGCTGTTATTACAATAATGTACTGCGATATCACGTTTGGAGTGGTGGCCGCTTTCAGCTATGGCTATATATGGGCATCAATTCGGAGCATAAGGGCGTCGAATAAACATATCAACATATCAAGGCGAACTCGGAAAACTGTTCTTCTGCTTCAATTTATGTGCTCGTGACAAAGTTCCCAGGCAAACTATCCAACAAGTACAGATACGAAAGTTGTACCTAACTAGAACTAGATGCATTGAAATGATAGTGTATTTACAATAATCAAGTTCTTGCAGCGAGGTACCCTAAACTCCAATACTTATTTGTTTCGAACTTCTCGACTTGGCACATAGTATTCAAGAGAGTTTCAAATACCTGCCATCTAAACTAGATACTTTAGTTTCAATACATAAATTCGGAAGTTCGTGTCGAGCTGGCATTTCTGACTCATGACGTTGTAAACGACGGGGAGGGAACCCTTCGAACGTACAGACCCCTCGAATCTAACAGAGTGATTTTATTAACTCCGCGGCCTACCTCGGCCAGCTGCCTCGCCGCCACGCCAGCGATTTATTACGCCTCTCTTATCTACATATGTTTATCGCGGAATTTTAAATTGTAAACGAGCCCCGCTTGAAATGTCAGCCAGTTCATGCACCACATTTACTCACGGACTGAAATGTACATAGTAATGAGTCATAAATATTTCGCTTGTATATTATGCTCTCTTTACAAACTCTACAGCCTAAAAATACATCTCGTGCGAGACAGTTAGATGCCAACAATAACAAGACACGAAATCGGAGCTCGTTTTTCACTATCACGAATTCGACATACATCTATTTGTTCGTATGCAACTTCACTCTATTAGTTGGCGTTTAGTAAGCCGTGCAATTTATACGGCCGGCAGTGTAATGTATCTGGGGTGGTATACTACGTCCGCGGTCGTTGTACTTCCGTAAATAATTCTTTGCAGGGGTTTTGAGTTAAGTGTAGCAATATGTAACAGTTAAGTGGGAGCGCAGCAAAGCTGTAAGTCATCGCCTCCACGCCAAGGCATTGCACTACAAACCCATATATCACATTGTTTAAACAGGCGCGGTTAGTGGTATAAGCTCTTAGACAATGTATAACCAACTGGAATACGTCTGAAGTAACTGTAAAGTAAGAGTCGTTGTTTGATCGATGCACCCGTGAAGTTTGCTATTGATTTCCTACGTGCAAGTGACAGTACAAGTAGGGTGTTAGGCTAGATACGATTTCCAATTTGGTTCGTAATAGTGAAACATAAACTTTATACTGAAGGCTGCGATTTCGTTTAACGGAACCGATTCTTTTATTGAGAAGATTCCGGAGCATATATTTAGATTAGCATTTCCTAAGTTTATAATCTACATTAAAAATATTTTAATTGAAACGTCATGTTACACAATTAAAGACTACGTGTTAGATAATGTATGGAAGACGATATTCCATAGCATTCAAAGTCATTTGAAAAGAGCAAACCCTAAAGGTCAGCAGTGTGAACGAGCAGTAGCTTAAAAATTATGTTTTCAAGTGAAAATTTATTTGAGCTATGGAATAAATGAATTATTTGACTCTAATCTGTGTATTTGTATGACAAAAATCCATAGCAGTGACCCGTTTAGTTCTTGCAGTTTGTTTTGATCTATGATATTTGAAATAAATATGGTAAACAATACACGTGTATTTAATTATTTTTTTTACAAAGATAATTTCTTAGGTTTCTAGAATTATTTAGAAAGTTCTAGAATTTCTTACTCATTTCTCAATGAGGAATTTACCTTACAAATGGTTAGTGGAGTTTAATCAATTATTTATTATTATTTAATCATTTATTGCACAGAAAAACACAAATC